TTATTATTTATTATTTTTTTTTTAACACAAGGAACAGTTTGTCAGGAGTGTCCTTTGCATCTTTGTCTGTAGAGTTGGTTTTTGAGACTTTTGGAATAACTGATGATCTCATTCCTCTCGTCTATAGTCTGCCTGTCTCGCATACTTAAATCAAAGCATGTTTTGCAAGACATCTTTGTCTCCTGGTTTGTTAGAGCAAATGTGGTCTAGACTCAATATAATTAAATTCTATAGCCAGTATAAGCTTTTGTTATATAAAGATATTAATTATGGAAAGACTTAGCTATTTGCTGCAGAATTATGAAGGAAAATATAATTTTTTTAAAATGAATAACTATCAACATTTAAAAGTAATTGGAAGTTCTTCAGGGGAAGACAAAAAACAAAGTGAACTAAACCCTGTTGTTATATACAGACTAAACAATATCCTATTAGTACTACTATAAATGGAAGCTTGCTGCTAGGGTGCTTAGGCTCGTGCCAAGGTTTAATGAAACTTAACAAAGCCAGATGACTCACTTTGAAATAAATGAGGTCAAGAGGACTTTCTTGATCTGCTGTACAGAGGACCTGTTATATAGATCGGCAGGAAGAAGTTTTGATAAACATGGTTGTAATTAGTAACAGCCAGTATGGTAGCTTGAATCGGTTACCTCAAGACCTTGTAGTGTCATTGGTTCTGGGGGCTCTTAAACATAGGTTAAACAGGCATTTGGCCAAAAATTACATAGGTGGAGTTGTGCTTGCCTTGAATTTGAAGGCAATCTGACTGAATGAGTCTGGCTTAGCCCAAGGACTTGGGGAACTGTGACTTTATCATTAATGAATTGTTTGAAACTGGAGGGTAGCAGTGGGCTGCTTTACCCAAACAGCATTAAGTAGGTACTTGACACAAATTCTCAAGGCTTTTGTATTTCCTCCTGAAAAACTGTTTGAAGATGCCTCTTTTATTTTTAAATGGTTAGATGACGGAGACTAAAATGCTAGTTATAGCCTTAAAGTGGGTTATAAAAACTGTTCTAAGAACTGTATTTTGCTTTGTTTGTTCCCATTATTTTTTTTGTAGCATCTACATCTCTTTAACCTTAACAAAAAGATGATAATACTCTCTTCATTTCAGATTAGTATTTAGCAGTAGAGTGAATGAATAATAAAACAGGGGAAACTCCGAATACTGCATAGATTTAATTAGCATGGAAAGGATTAATGTTAAGGCTTACAAAAGTCAGCACTGGTAATTCGTAAATGTGTCTTAGTTGGTTTTTTTCCTTTTGGTATTTAGCTTTTCTTACAAAGAAAGAAATCTTCGTTTTCAGTGGTGGCTTTTCTTATGTTTGTGATTTACCATGTGACTTGTGATGAACAAGGAAAGATGCAGGTATTTCTGCTGGTTTCAGTCTGTCATGTGGTCTCTTGTTTTTTGGGTTTTTTTCCCCTCTCCTGATAAGGGCAGACCTATAATTAAGCATCCATATTTGTAATCATTACCTGCAGTCATGATGAAGCTTTGTGGATCTCATAGCAGTGAGATAAAGACCATCAAAAATTGCTTTAAAACTTTCTGGAAAATCCCCATGTGAATAGGGGTAAATAACAGAAAGAAAATGATACAGAAGTGAAATGATTACTTTTTATTTATCCTTTCTGTTAGACAATGCAGTGTTAATAACTATCCATTATGACAGTTTAAGGAAAGCCTGATCAGTGTGTTGCATGTTGTATAGGGTTTCTTTTCACTTTTTTTTTTGTACATAATCATTTTCCCTCATCTCTATCTCTAGAACTCGTCTTCCCAAACCTACTTTTCTTTCCCAGTTGTTCTTTATATTAGAATTCTTTAGCCCTCTTATACTACTACTTTTTCTTAGATTTCATCATCTGAGATAGTGCAAGGACACCAAATGTTAACCAGTGATCTCTCCTGTAACATAACGTGTAGTGTATCCAGTTTCCTGCCACAGTACACTTCTACATTTTAAAGTGTAATTAAGAGTATGCTTTGGAGTGTGCTTTTTTAAAAACTCTTTATTTCCCTGTATTTCAGCATAAAGTGCTTGCTCAATATTTCTCCTCTTTTTCTGTTGGTTTTTTTTTTTTTTTTGTTTGATGATGAGGATTAGTTGATAGATGGTTTGCATTGGTAGAATGACAACTTGTGACTGACTTTATTCTGTGTGGTTAAGTCTGAAGACTTCCCGTGCCCAAGAGAAGGATGCCCTGAGGAAGTTAGATCGTCTGAATGACTATGAGCAGCAGATTCAAATACTGCGGGATGAGATTTCTATCCTGGATGCCCAAAAGTCTGTTCTCCAGAGCAGGTAGAGGTGTTACTCAGAGAAGTAACTGAATCAGAGAAATTGTTCATGTTAGGTTGCATGAATTCTCTCCTCATTTTATATTGAAGTATAAACAAAAGCTAAACTTTTGTACTTTGTTATGAAGGAACATAAACTCTTAACTAATTTCTCCTAGTGTCCAAATGTTTTAATTTCAGGCAGCAATGTTAAGTTTCTGGCAAAACAGTAGAAAGAGCAGCTTTACAAAATACATTGAGAGCAACTGTATGGGATAAAGAAATGGTTAGGTTTTTTGTTCTCTTTGAATACTGTACCATTACAGGGCGGAACTTGTTGTTATATTCTCACTTTTTTGACTTTCTAATTCTTCAGTGGTACTGCAAGAGGAACAAATCTCCAAAGTATTATTAGTTAAAAGTGTGTTTCCCCAGAACAAAGTGCTTGGCTGTACACACTTTAGGAATTACTTTAATTTTATTGTTCAGGCTCTAGCCCAGAAAATGTATTGACACAAATGCCTTCATATTAGACTAACCAGCTGTGGCTTTACTTCTTTAATTATGTTGGCTCAAAATCTTGGCTTACTCTGGTAATAATTAAATTGACACAAAACTCTGAGCACTAGACAAAAGCAACTGAGGATGGTGAAGTGACCTCACGCTTCTTTACATGTCTGTCATAGGCTTGCACGGAGCCGCTCTCCTTCCCCGAGGCACACTGAGACCAAGTCACCTAGTCCACTTCCCCTGAGAAGCTGCTCACCTGGCCGGGCCAGGCGTACAAATGCTTCGCGTCGCACCTGCCTAGTAGCTCGCTTTGGTGACATTTATGCTCAAGAACGCTTGGATGCAGAGACCCTTTTGAGAACATACATCAGTGATGTGGAAATGGTGCAGAGGATAATATACATTGCAGCTGTGGTAAGAAAAAAATAATCTTGTTTAACAGGCCAAAAGTGTTTTATAAAATATTATGGCTGGATTAGATTACATTGTTTGTAAACTAACATTTCTGTGAAGTACAGAGAAGAAAACTTCTCTTCTTTTTTCCCATTTGATTTTCCTTTCTTTCCCTCACAGTTTTACATTGAACTCTCAATTTAGCGTCCTTTTCTGACTATCCTGTTCCATTAGAACAGGGTCAGTGATCTACCGTACAGGTGCTAAAAAGGACACATAAGAAGACTGAATGATTCTGAAAAGTATATGATTTCTGCACTAAACAAAACTGCCTTGTTTAGATTAATTCTTTTGGGAATACTCCATTTTAGAAAGCTAAAAATCTTTCCATATCATGCTTCCCTCTTGCCTGTAGCTATGTGCTTTTCTAGTTTTATTTGGTCCCTTGAAATTACCTAGATATCTCATGTTTACTATGAGATCAGGCCGAATAAATTTGTTTTCATTTTTCTGTACTTAATCTTCTTTTCTATAAAATTGATGTGGAACATACCTGTGTCAGAGAGGCAGTGTGTCTCTGAAAGTGTATGATCCCAAGCACATTTAACTTACTGAAGTGTTTTTCCCACAACTGTCATTCAGTTTACACTCTCCAATTCAACCTTTTTTTTCCCAACAGAGAAGAGGTGCTCCTGTCTGACATGTTAGACTGTGGTACATAAAGTGCTATTACTGAATGCTGCTCTTGGTATCTTTGAATGTGATTCCATTGATCAAGGGTGTGTGATGGAATCCTACATAAAAATAGAAGGTTAAGTGGGAAGCTTTTCAATCCTGTCTTCTGCAGATAAATCACATTTGATTTAACCAGAGAAGTCCTCCTAGATGAGTACTATTTTTGACTTTCACTTTTACAGCAGTGTTTTGTATTCCTCCTTACAATGATGATTCTGGGTTAAGTTCATCCTCTCAGATAATTGATAAAAAATTAATCTCAGTCTCCTGGATTTAACTAGATGTTCTTTATGTTTGCAGGAGTCTTTTCATGCAGCAAAGATGGCCTACAGGCAGTTCAAAATACGTGTAAGAGAGACTCTGTCTCTAGGTCACTCGGGGCCTGAGTCACTGGAAGACACTGTCCTGGATTATATAGTTCGCCATGAGGATCTGTATGACGTTCAAGCCAGTGTCAATGTAAGTCAAGGACAGTGGGGAGCTGACATATTAAGCTGTTTCAGTAGCTAATAAATTTGAAATGTGTAAACTAGAAATGCACTGTAATCTGAAGAAGGAAAAAAGTTTATTGCATGGATTTTATGTCTTGTAGCAGTTTATTTTCCAAAATAATATTGTGGTATGGCCCAGTAATCACTTATTTTATTTGCCTGTGACTAGAATGTCTCTGCCAGAATAATATTTTTGGCAAGATACAGTGTAATTGTCTTAATCAAATAAATGTAAGCCAAACATCGTATTTTCCTTAAATTCTGTGCTCTACTGAAAAACTGCATCTTCCTCCTAAGATTGATATCAATGACGTAGCTCATACTTTATTTCTAAAATAGTGCATTCTTTCTGAAGCTAATGTTTTCTAGACTAGCCTAAGACAATATTGCTGAGTTCTTATACTGATTTTTAAATGTAGAAAGCTGAGAGGCATATTTACGAGGGATTTCTATACTTGCCTATGAATAAAATTGTTAGTGAGCTCAAATTACTGAATTGTGTTTATTTTCAGGAAGTAATTCGCTCCATGAACATCAACCCAAAGATTTCATTTCCACCGGAAATTGATTTCATTGTGATCAGCACTTTGATTCGAGAGTTGTGCCGTGTGGCTTTTTCGATGCAGACACTGGTTCCTCCTCTTGATATTGCCTTTGGTACCGATGGAGAACTTTTCAGTGAGACCAAGTAAGAACTCTTTCTTTTCAGTCAAATTCTTACTATTAAAAAAAAAATCCATGTATAGGCTACTTCTTTCCTAATGAATATAAAGGTTTAAGATTGATGCTAAACATTAATTTGAGGCAAATATTCCTGATCTGTAGTGAATTTGGTATGTCTTTAAGGTTTATGATGGTATATAAATGCCAGGATGTAGACCAGTGTTAACAGCTTTTTTTAATGAACAGCAGAGTGATTTTCTGGATAAACTCCTGTCTCTAAAGCATATTTAATTTATCCTTTGAGAGGAAAATTATCATAATCTTTACTTTCCCTGTTTAGTCTCTATCTGCCTCAAGTGTTTATAAAATGCATGCATCTTTGTTCCTCCTTTCTGGCCCAGTTTGTAAAAGTCGTGTTTACTGACATCTGGTGTCTGATACCAGGATCATCATGGTGTGATGATCATGGTCACAGCCTGTGACCTCCAGGCTGTGGCTGCTGTACGACGTATGGATCTTAATACATTCCCATCTCTTCTGGTTTAGAGATGAGCAAAAAGAAAAGTGCCTTTTAAAAATGGGAATTTTGTTTAAAAAATGCACACCATATGTTACGTTTTCTTTTTTCCATAGGGTCAGGGCTGGGGGCTTTGTTAGCTGACAGAGAACTGTAGGGTGCTTCCATGCCTTCAAGAAAACTAATGGGGTTGATAGCTTAAAAAAAAAATGCTCTCAAAAGCAAGAAAAGCCACACCAATAAGGAGGTTTCTAATAATAATTTAAAATAGAATGGAATCCGGATGGGGAAGAGCTTGAGAAGCCAAGGAGAGAAATAGAGAATATAAAAGTAGCCCTTAAACAGGAGAGTGCAAAGTCATACATGACTACTTAACAATCCTGTCCAAATACTGGGCAGTTAGCTATGTGATACCCAAAGCTATTGGCTGAATTAAGCAGGCAGCAATGTTATGGTATAGTCTTGGGATGCTTTCTCCACCGACTTGATGTGTGGCCTTCAAAAAACACGTGATGTGTTTATACATGCTGCTGTAGGAGACGTGTGTATATACACACATCTATCCATCTATACAGATAAATATCTGGCATACATATGTTTACATGTATAGCATATATACGTGGTACACAGAGATGGAGCAAAATTTATAGAAATTAAAATAGCTCTGTTAGTTATGTGTGATATCATTCTATAAAAGGGCTGGCCAAACCTCATCCTCCCCTATGCCTTCCTCCATGCAGAGATTCACGCCTCTGTTTACAACATTATTTTATATAAATTGCTATTGTACACACATTACTAATGTACAGATGCATTGATATTTTTATTTCAATTATTTGACGTTTGGTTTGAGTTTGAATCCACAAAACCAGACACGTATTATTCAGCCAATATTGCAGACTTAGAGAGGTAATATATAGCTGATATGGTAATACAGGCCTTCAGAATGGTTTTTCTTAGCTGGAAAGTCACCGTTTCATTATCAAAATCTCAAGATCTGAGGATCTTGCTGATTAAATTGCCTCTTATGTCTCATAAGATACTAGGATGTAACTTTATAGTTGAGATAGAGTATTTCCATAATATTATTTATAGGGGTCTTGTTTTAGAAAGGTATTTCAGGAAGATGGGATGCCCATGCCTGCCAAAATTTCAGGAAGATGGGATGCCTATGCCTGCCAAAATGCTGCTTAGGAGATTTAATCTGTCAGTGGACCCAAGGACCCTGGCTTGTGTGAGGCTTATGCAAGAACATGGTCTAGCAGCCTTCTGAAGAGTGAGATGGCTTTATTGGAGTGTCTCTCAGTATAAGTAGACAGTATATTTTGCTAAGCCTGTCTTACAAATGCGTTTCATTTACAAGTTCACTCAAAGAATACTTATTTTTGTGATACAGAACTATTGTCAAGAAAGGTGTTTATGAGCTGTAACTAGTATTCTGCTTTTTATCAGAATTGATGACTTGAAGCACCGTATGTATCTTTTGGCACTTACATGCAGACATTTCTTGTACTCTGTGTTTCAACAGGTACCATCGTAGTTTTGACTCTGATTTCACAGCTGCCTTGGTGGCCTATCATGTATGGCCTGCTTTGATGGAAAATGATGTTGTAATTGTGAAGGGAGAAGCAGTCACAAAAAGAGGAGCTCTGGTACGTACTTTTGTTAAGGAACACATTAAGGGATTTAAACACTCTTTAAAATTCAAAAAGATAACTTCTTGATTGTTCCCTATATGACTGGAGTTCTGTATATCAAATATCAGTTAGGTTTTAGTGCCTCACCCTGTATTTAGGATGAATAGTGCCATTTGCCTTAATTTATTCATTATGCAGATGTATGATTGTTGGCAGAGCCTGTTCTAAGGAGAAAGTTTGCTATGTTTACTCTCTGTCCCCAAGCCTTGTCTCCAGCATGGCATGTCTGCTTGCCAAGTCTGTCTTTATTAAATGCTCTCTCTCAAAAGAGGTTTTGTCAAACTCTTCTTTTGTAGTGGTCTCGCAGAAGTAGAAGCAGAAGCAGAAGCCGCAGCCGTCGTACCAGTCCTCTTCTATCTCATCATGTAAGCCCCAGCTCAATGCTTGTAGTATAAACAGCATCAAGTATTTTAAACTCAGAATGTATGCAACCTTTTAAAAATGCTGATGTGCCACGTGCATTTTAACATTGGGAATAAATGCCTTTGGGTCTGGAATGAGGTGATGCTGAACTAAGAGATAGTTATTGCCTGGTATAATTATCAGTGGAGATAGTGTATGAGAGGTTAAATTCTTGGTTAAATTCTCAGAAGTGTCAACTGTGGATCTCGGAATACTTTCCCCCTACTCCCCCTTGCTTCAGTGCCTTTCTGAATAACTAATTGCATCAACTGGAAGTGTTTTAGTCATCTTGCAGTACATATACAGCACATGGTCCCTGCCTCCTGGGATTTGTAATCTAAATTTACCCTCCAATGCCTCAAAGGAGCAGAAAATCCGTGTAGGGTGGGCAGGAGGGGAAGAACTGAGGTGGTACCAATAAGATATTTGAAATCTTAGAAGAGTTCTGCAAATGGTATAGTCACACAATATTTTTAATGATTTCTGTAAAAATCATGTATATTTTTCTAATTGTTAGCCCATCTTATTAAATTGACATAGATGCCCTCAACTTAAGATGTTAATATTGAAAATGTGAGAGGCTTTGGGAAAGACTCGCTTTTTTGTGTGTGCAGGGTGTGAAAGAAAAACTAGAAAGTTGTTCACTTGGACTTTGCACGTTACTCTATCAGTGGAGCTTCACAGCTACAAATTTTCTGAATGTTGCTGGATCCCTCGGTGCCTTTCTTGGGTACAGTTCTTTAGCACGTCTGAGTTTCCTTTTCTGTTTGTCTTGCAGTTGTCTCGAAGCCGCAGTCCTTCACCACTGAGGAGCGGAAGCCCAAGTAAGTGGGCATATTAGTTCATAATGACTTACGGTTTTCACATTAAGCCCTTGAATGACTGAGCAAAGAGACAAAATAACATGCTGAAGGTCTTTGGTTCTAAAATACTTGTCCAAATATTATTTTTAAAATGGGGAGCCACTTTCTTTTCTGTGTGTGGAAAAAGGCTGAAATTTCTGACTTTGAGTAGTGAAAAACAAGCTCTCCTCTGACCTCTGCCATGAGTTCTCTCTGCTGGTTGCCTTTGTTGTGGCCAGTTCGATAGTAAATAAAACTTGTCCTCTTCCCTACACAAGGGAGTTAGCTGCTGGCTCCATGCCTTTCAAAATCCAAAGATTACTGAGTGGTGACAATGAAGTGAGGGATTTCAAACAGTATGAATGTGTGCCCATCTTGAAGCCAAGCTAATTTAGAAATTAAGGGAAAAAAAAAAACCCCACCCACTTGTACTGAAATGTGTCTTTTTCTTCAATAGGGCGTTAAGTGAACATCTTCCTGTGACTGAGTACATCCAGATGCAACAACTGGTGCCTTTTCTCTTCAAGAATACCTCAAGTCTTGCAATAATGTGAATGACAATTGTCACTCCAAATGGAGTTTGTGTTCAGTGTGGGGTTTAGAATTATAGAAGGCTTATTTATAATTTTAGAAACTAATTCAACCCTTCTGATTTAAGAAAAAAGTGCATGCAATACAGGATCATACTCATTAGCAAAATTTGCAGAGCATTGAGGAACCATGCTGTAATCCTGCAGATAGAGAGATAGAATTATAGCATCTAGAATTTTTTCCAGAGATACCAAATGATGCAGTTTATCTTGACAAGAGGCTTAATATAACCTAAATGGTGAATGTTGCAGAATGTTGAGGTTAGATGTTACTTGAAAACAATTATTTCATTTATTGGTGCTTATTTACAATTTTAGAAAATAGCAATAATCTTAGGATGTGCCAGTCTCACACAGCATCCCTTTACATACCTCCTTGTGGGAAACTGAATTTTCTAACTACAATGCAGCAGTTGCACAGAACAGTCATAAACTACCAATAATCCAGCAATCCCCAGCGCTTTATTGACATTTACTTACGAAACATGAATGTGTGCTTTAGCAAAGCAATAATAGTCCTTGCTAAATTCATTGTTACTCTAGAAATGAAAATCGTAAATTGTAGTTTGGAACTTAATGTATTTTGAAAGTGTGCCACTGACTATTTGTAGGCTTGAAATATTTGCTTGAGGTGATCTATTGGTATCACTTTTAATGGGCTTTCATACTAGACTGATAGATTAGTAATTCTTGTGAACGCAGTGAAAAAAACCTGTCCAGTTATTTCTTACTGTGGGAGTTTATTACGTTTTCAGTGTAAAAATTAGAGACCTGACGAGATTTTATTCTGTCCCTTTAAATTATCTGTTCCATTGTTAATGTTTATTTTAATACCAACATTTTTGGGTTTGAGAACTGAACCTCATCTGTAGGGCCAGCCTTAAATACAAGCCACACAGGTGACTGCTTGGGGCCTTGTGCTTTTACATCCAAACATAAGATTTGTCATAATGGAGCTGATATGTAATTCACCAACCCCACTGTCTCATTCCAGTCAATACCTGATGCTTCAAAGGTATGTGGAGCTTCCCCCAAATTAATCTGCACAATTTTGGAATATAAACAATCAGAAGGAGGAAAAATTCCTTTCTTTCTCCTCTTTTAATCTGCCTATGCCCTGGAACATGACACTTCATTAGTACTGGTGTAATAACATGAGCAAAATATTTTTATTAGTTCTGAAACTATTTAGTCCTTAAATTACGTTATAGGAGCAGATTTTGGGATCTTATGTGGATTTACACATCCATGCTCTTTCTCTCTACTTCTTGTGTGGCTTAAGACTTTGGCACAAGGCTCTTTGCCTGACATCTGATCCTGTGCTGGACTTTAGCATTGGTCCCCATCAGCCATGGATCAGCTGTCACTCTAGTTCTACAGGTGTATTTTCATTGGAATTAGGCCCATTAGTAACCAAAGAGAGCAAAATGATGTCCTGTACCTAGAGAGTCATGCAGAGAGCCCTTCTGAATGAACTAAGGTGACACAAAGGCACATGCACGTATGCGGTGCACTTGTTACCGAAGAAAGTCACACAAAATGCAAAGCAATATATTTCCTCTTCTAATGAGCCTGATTGTTGGTCACAGCTATGGATCTGAGCATGAAGTAAAACTGCATGTTTCTGCACTCATCTCATGACTAAAACCACCACAGTTCTAGAAAAACTGAGTACCTGCAACTTGTGTGGCAACAGAAGACAATTAGATATCCTGAGTATGGTTTTGAGCAGAAAAATGAAGAATTTATCAAAATCTTGTAATTACCAAGGGCTAAGGAGATGAGTTTTTTTAAAAAAAATATAAATTAGGTGTTGTATGTTTGTCTTCTGCATGTAATTACCAAGACATGTCTGTGTTATGATTTTGAGTTGAAGTAAGTTTCCATACCAACTGTGAGAAAACTAAGACTACATCAAGGCAGTATGTTTTTCTTGACAAGTGCGAGAGGCAGGGTAGTTCCAGACTTGCACGTACCTGTGATGCCACTAGGAACTAGTATTCCCAAAGATCTAAAATTGCCATAAAAGATAAACTTACAGTGCTTGGTGGACCATCTCATCTTACTCCCCCAGCACGTACCTAGAGAACTAGTTAGTCTCAAAGTAAAAGAGAAAACTAATGAAATGACAGCCAATGACTTGTTTTGGTAGTGAGAAAGCAGCTCTAAGTTTTTTTTGGTTTTTTTTTTTTTTTTTTTTTTGCATAATGTGTCAGAGCAGAGCAAACAGTATTCAGCAAAATAGGAAGTCAGTCCACAGCATGGTAACACTTAATCAGTGAAACAAACCTTACTCTTCTCAATTGTACTGTGCAACCCGTAGTCTTTTTATAGGAATATACTGTTTTGTACTGGTTGGCTGAACAGCTTATTTATATCCAATGAAATCTGTAGGTCCTATAGAAGATTGCTTTTGGTGTGAAGTTAGGCACTAGCAGCTCCTGTGCTGCTTTTTATTCACATGACAACAGTGCAGAGAATGCATAGCAATAAAGATTACATGGAATGAACCAGCAAATGCAAAAGAACCTATAAAAAGAGACTATTGTAATTGCTTGTAAGACCCTATGAAAGAACGGATCATGAATGTGAAATTGATGACTTGATATTTTAATAAGAGGTTTTAAAATCTTAAGTAAGATTTTTTAAATTTTCTTTTTTTTTTCTAAATCACAAGCCTGGATAATGCCACATTTGTAAATACAGCAAATTAGAAACAGTAAGGGTGGATTCTAATAAGTGACAAATACAAAAAAGCCAGTAAGGCTTCTTTACAAGATATTTTTAGAACAGTGTGATCATGATCAAAGTGTCAATACCAGGAAAAAGAAGGCTAGATTGTGAGCCAATTTAAACTCTTTGCATATGGACTGATGGAAGTGAGGCTGCATGGGATGTAAAAAAGCACCACCTTTGGGCCAAGGTGTTCATGTAGAACAGCACATTTGTGAGGAATTTTGCGGCTGCTGGAGAATTTCTCCTGCATGTCAGCTCTTTGAAGGCTGATTATGTCTGTCTCAATTCAAAGGCTGTCCTGGAGTCAGTCTAAACATCTGGATGTTTTAGCACTTATTTTTTGGAAAATACAATGTCATCAAAATATCTTCAGTCTTCCTTCTTCAATGTTTGCAGCTCAGTAACATGAAGTAGAGACTCATGCAGAGCTAGCAGATACTGAGGGTAAATGACTTAGCTAAATTTGCTACTGCACAATGAAGATCTAAATTCAGAGATTATCTTAGATTCTGCCAACATCCTGACAGGAGAAAGAAAGTTGGGAGCAGGAGGTTGGTGGAGTCCTCCCATCTAATCTTGCTGGCAGTGAGCTGTGGTGCTGATTCAGTCTTGGAGGAGGCTCTGGAGATGAGTGGTAAGTTAAAGCAAAAATACTCTACAGCCTGAAGAAAATAAGTGCGAAGGCCAAAAATTATCAAAATGCTCCCTGGAAACTATGCCTGTACATCCTCCAGGATTTGAGCTTTTTAACTTCACTTTTGTATTGCATGTATGTACTGCAAAAGTTTGTCATACTGTAGAAGTGCCATCAGAATTAAATACTGTCTTTCAGCTTTATGTAACCTTTGTCAGCTGTTTTTGATTGGTGTTAACTACACAATGATTTTCTTACTGTAGCATTAAATAGTCTAGCTTTGTATTAAAGAAATGAAAATGTGTTTGTTATGACTTGCAGCTACATTAGCACGTGTTCAGATTGAATGTTTCAAGACTATTGTATTTCTTTTAGTCATGCAGCATAGAAAGCAAGTATACTAAAGAAATGTACATTTCATTTTATGCAACTTTTTGATAGTTTAAAACAACATGTGTAAGCAAATCTGTCACAGGCTCTTGCTGATATACAGGTGTGTTGTTTATGTGGAAGCTGTACCTTTCACTCAGTAGATGGAGAACAAACCTAGAGCACTTGGTGGTGTTTTACTGTTAGCAGACAAAGGCATGGACAGAAATTAGGTGGGTGGTGTATTTATACTTATGGCTTTGAGAAGGCAGCACTTCTGCCTTGTAAAAACACAGTTCTCAAAATAATGTTACCCGCTTGAAAGTAAAGTGTCAGCATAAAGATGCTGTTTACCACCATTAGTATTGCTTCCTGTGAAATTGTTTTTTCCTAAAGGGCTTTGGCCTGCATTCCAAGTTCTCTGTTTAAAAACAAAACAAAAAATGCATAAAGAAAGATCATGTTAGGCTAATTCCTTCTCTTCACAGTAGCTGGCACTTAGCCTTTTAGACTAGAGGAATATAATCTGTCACAAGCAGTTTTACCTTTGTAAACTGCATTCAGGACCTTCCGTGAAAACCTGTCTCTATGTTGGTGATACATACACCCCCAAACAGCATGGACAGGACAAACAATTGTTATTTGGAAGCATC